TACAACAGATGGGCACAGGAGATCGCTTCCTATTTATAACCCCAGCAGCACAGACATTAAGGGCAACATTGAATAAATGTGACCTACTAAAACTGAGAAGCTTCTGTAAAGCAAAGGACACTCACTAAGACAAAAAGGCAACCTACTGACTGGGAGAAGATCTTCACCAACCCCGCAACAGACAAAGGTCTGATCTCCACAATATATAGAGAACTCAAGAAACTAGACTTTAAAATGCTAATTAACCCAATTAAAAAATGGGGCACTGAACTGAACAGATAATTCTCAACAGAAGAAGTTCAAATGGCCAAAGGACACTTAAGGTCGTGTTCAACTTCCTTAGCAATCAGGGAAATGCAAATCAAAACAACTTTGAGATATCATCTTACACCTGTCAGAATGGCTAAAATCAAAAACACCAGTGATAGCCTTTACTGGAGAAGCTGTGGAGGAAGGGGTACCCTCATCCATTGCTGGTGGGAATGCAATCTTGTGCAACCACTTTGGAAATCAGTGTGGCGGTTTCTCAGGAAATCTGCGATCAACTTACCCCTGGACCCAGCAATACCACTCTTGGGAATATACCCAAGAGATGCCCTAGCATATGACAAAAGCATTTGTTCAACTATGTTCATAGCAGTATTATTTGTAATAGCCAGAACCTGGAAACAACCTAGATGCCCTTCAATGGAAGAATGGATGAAGAAAGTGTGGAATATATACACATTAGAGTATTATGCTGTGGTAAAAACAATGAGTTCCCGAATTTTGCATGCAAATGGATGGAAATAGAGAACACTATCCTGAGTGACTTAATCCAGACCCAACAAGATGAACATGGGATGTACTTACTCATAATTGGTTTCTAGCCATAAATAAAGGTCATGGAGTCTATAATTGGTGAACCTAAAGAAGCTAAATAAGAAGGTTAAACATATAGTTATCCTCTTGGCTATGGGAAGTAGACAAAATTGCCGGGCAGAAAATTGGAATTTTGGGGATGGGGTGGGATGGGGGTAAGGGGAGATGGGGAGAGAAAGTGAGAATGGGAGGATGGGGGGAACTTGGGGAAACAGTATGATTGGGATAAAGGAAGGTTGGATAGGGGAGTACGGAAGCACAATTCTTAGTTAAGGGAGCCACCTTAGGGTTGGCAAGAGATTGAACCTAGAATGGCTCCCAGGAGGCCATGATGATATCAGTGAAAGTTGACTTCTATCACAAAGGTCTTATAGATGTATCTTAGGTTTGAGTTGATATTTCTTAGTTTTATGTGTCAGACACTCTTTAGTTTCTGATTTCTAGTATACTGTCAAAATTCTGGTATGAGCCCGGCGAGGGTGGTGTACTCCTTCAGTTCCAGCACTTGGCAAGCACAGACAGGTGAATCTTCTTGAGTTCAAGACCAGTCTTGACTACCTAGTGAGTTCCAGGACTGGCTCCATAGTTACAAAGAAACCCTGTCTTGAAAAGAGAAATATGGTATGATTATGGTCTTCTTCTTTATTATAGCACTAACATGGAGTTTTCCAATCCATTTTTAATTTCAGTTCTTAAAAGATACTAAGAAAGTAGGCATCATCAATTATGAGGCAAAAGATCCAATGTATTTTTTTAAATTGTTAGTAAATAACCTCTGTCATGTTTGATCTAAGTGATTATACTAGCTTTCTTTTAGATTCCATTCCATTGCATACTTTTTCTTTTTGACGTTAGCATTCTATCCACATAACCTCAAAAATAGTCTCAGCATGAATGTTTTCCTGACCCATCTTGCTGATCCCCGGGGAATTAATATGCTTTTTTTTAATACTAACTCTACCCTCCAGAGGTATTATTTACTTTTAAAGACCAATGATTATATTTAATGTTTTTCATTATAAATAAAATCATTTATAACTTAAATAATAATTCTGAGGAAATGACTATATTTCCTATAGTATTTCATTTATTCTCATGACCCGGAAAAGTTTCCAGAGACCTACTTTTATGTTACTGAATTTTGAAATGAAATATAGATTAATCACCTGAATGTGTGTAAAAGAGGGCTAAGGGTGAGGTAGACACAGCAAATTGAGATCAGAGCAGGTGATGAGGTGATGGCCCACCTATGAAGATGACATGTTTTTTTATAATGTTTCTAGGCATGCTGGTGTTGTGAGTACTAAATATAACACTCTGTGTTAGAACTCGTGGCCCAGAAATACTGCAGCTGAAGTACTGCTTTGTGATCTAAGTCTGACTTTCCATTCTTCAAAAAAATATCAGTTATGGACAAATCTGCGCAGTCATAAGTGCTCTGAAATAGAAATATTGTCTAGAGAATTTAACTATGAAACTGGCTGGCATGTTTGACAGTGATCAAGATTCAAATCATATTTACATATTGAAAAATTATCATTTTGTTTAGAGGTCATGATGGATGTCATAGTATTTTTTGTAAAACATACCACTTACATTTTCTCTCATATCTTTTGTTGCAGTTACTTCCTAGTATTCTTTCTAAGCATGTGTTTCATTTTTCTCTAAAAGTAATAGAGTACCAGCATTTCAAAGTACTATCCTCCCAGCACTGAGAAATTATACCATACCCTTATAGTCACGTCTTCTCTGGGTGTACTAACCCAATATGTGGCTCCGATTCAACATGCTAAACTCAGTTGCTCATTTTCCACTTGCATCGTCTATGCTAATGTATCTACATTTATTGGTTGCCACAAATTTTGTGTCCAAGACAGAGTTTCAGCATTCACCATTTTTTTAGTTTCTTTCCTCCATATAAAATTCCAAATATTATTTTTTTACTTTATTTCCTGCTCATGTTTTATTCTATTAATCCTCATATTTTTTCTTGAAGCTCTTTCAATGTCATCTGATTCATTTAGCATACCTGAAATCATGATATTGTAGACTACAAAACAAAAATAATTACAGGTACTCTTGATTAACTCAATTCCGTGTATGCAAATTTACACCTGGTTTACTTGTCTGATAGCATTTATATTGCATGTCCTTATATCCTTATGTTCTTAATCATTGTTCTAGAATGTTGTTTTTATGATGACCACAAAGGTGATTAATTCATTCACATTGGCCTAGAAATATTAAGACTTGCAGCATATAAGAATTTGATGGTACACCGTGAAAAAGGTCATGACAGTCCTCTACCCTTCATTTACCCAAAATTTAATTTCTAGGAGTTCTTCTTTACAAATACTTTGACAAGTACGAGAATATATGCATCTAAATACTTACTGCATCAATAATGCCTGTCAAAAATACAGCATTCCGATCGTGTAGTGAGTAACATACAATAAAATCAAATTAGTTGCATCTGTATGAATGTCTAACAAAAGCGTATACATATATAGAGTTTATTTTATTATTTATGGGTAAATCACATATTCACAGGTATCCTTAGGTATGCAACGATTCTCTTTAATGGCTACATACACACAAAAATGTGGTAAACTATGGCCAAAGAACAGACATCCAGCGGTGGGAGACTTTTCACTATATATCTTTTGGAAACATTGTTTATGTGTATGTTTTTGTGTCTATTCGAGTGTTGTCAATAAGTGTTCAAAGTTCTGCAGGGGACTGAAGAGGGTGTCAAATCCCCTGGAGCTGGAGTTAAAGGCAGTTATGATCCTCTGAACATGGGTACTGGGAACTGAACTCAGGAATAGAGAAAGAGATCCTAACTGCTGAGCCATTATCTCCAGACACAGTATTATTTATCTTTTAATCTATAAAAGTTTCTTTACAAAAGCAAATGTGCAAAATGATCTGTGCATAGCTAAAGCCAAAGCTCCTCTCCTAGAAAATGTCGATTTTCATAAATACAGTCCTATAAGTACAATTAATAATAAAATGTGTATTTAATCATTTTAAAATTTAGTTTAATTGCTATGATGCTGAACACATTTCTATTTTCTGTATTCTATTGTTTCTATAATATATCACATACTCAGAAGTGATCCACATAAAATGATTCACATTGATCCACATCTATGCATTCAAAACAAAAATCAACTATACCTACTCTGGACATAACTACTGGGCTTTCATTGCAAATGACTACCTGGACTGCTTCTGGAAAAGTTAAAGTAATATTAATCTTCAAATTACTTTCTCAATTATCTTGAAAATTTAGATCAGATTTGATTAGTTATGAAATTCTTAAACATAGATGGTACTGAGGAAAGCAGTTCATAATACAGTACTTTTAAAAGAGAAAGTTTTAGTACTTGTACATGGTAGTGCTTAGGATTTTCTGAAGTAAGAAAATAATAGTTTGAACAATATAATATAATTCAGTAATATAATATATGTTAGAGCATTTTATGTACCCATAAGGTACAATTAACCAGTACTAATTTTCCCTAGATTCACATAAAAGACACTCCAAATGGTAATAATCTAGATCTTGAAGCACATTTTCTAATTTGATTGGGTTTTAAATGATTGATATTTTCTTAGATCAGCCCAATAGACATTTTATAAACATGTCTTCTCAAAATGCCAAATACATGGAATGTTTAAACGACTTGAACATATTATTGAGATGCTGGTAAAGCTAAACTGCTGAATTGCAGGGAAAACAACGACTACATTAACCTAAAGAAAGAAAATACATAAATCACCCAGGAAGGGAAAGATTAAGACTAATTCAGTTTTTGTATGATACAGCAAAAAATGTAGTGCTCTGAGAAAAGGTGCCAAAGCCACATCAAGTTTTGATTCTCTCTCTCTCTCTCTCTCTCTCTCTCTCTCTCTCTCTCTCTCTCTCTCTCTCTCTCTGCTCTCCTATCTCGTTGCTCCTTTCTGTTTTCCCTCTCGCTGTGGCTGAGCACTAGAAAGTTGGGTAAATCCCCCTTGGAGATAAATCACACACAATTAGAAGTGTGCATGCATATATCACACACAAGCACATATGTGAAGAACCTTAGCCTGAACTGAAAGATAAATCTGTGCACGTTCACAAGTGCATAAAGACTTTAGCTCCAGAGGCCTGCATAATTGCCATGGAGGCCTGAAGGGAGTGGACCTCCACCCACAAAGAGCTTCATTTCAGGCCAGTTGTAGCAGTGAGTGTAGAGTGCATTTGGGAATTCCTCAGTGCCACCAAAGTAGTTCACCCAGAGTTCATCTTGGTTGAGCCAGCCTCTGCCACAGGTGAGTTTGAGCTTCCTACCTGTGCGCACGAGAAAAGAGTCTGGACTGGCTAAGGCCCTCTCCTCCAGGAACTTCTGTGCACGGATGTCATAGAAGAGCAGGGAACCATGTCCAGTGCCCACGGTAATGATGTGCTGGTAGAAGCTCAAAGAACGCACACCTGTGCCTCCCTCTCGGGAACACAAGGGTCTGATATTCTGCTGGCGTTGTCTTGGATCCAGGAATGAAACATGAGACTGGGATCCGACAGCATAGAGGGACAACTCATCACAGTAGGTGAGACACACGTTCTCCCTGCAGTAGGGCAGCCTTAGGGACAGCAGCCTGGACAGAGAGCTCCGGGCTTTCCATAGGTGGAAGTAGCCATCCAGAGATACTGCTCCCAGCTCCTGGTTTTTGCCACTGAATGCAAGGGCTCTGACTTTGCGGTTACCTGGGTTAGTGGTGGCCCTAGGAATGGCCTCCATGTCCCTTGGATGAATGTGCGAATACCGTGGAATCTCTGAATTATTGTGCCAGGGAATGTTTCCACTGGATATGTCAGGATCAACCCGCCAGAGCGCCACAGTGCCGTCCCGAGATCCACTTACAACCACCGTGTCACTCATCCATGCAATGGCGAAGATCCAGTCCCTGTGGCCATTGCGATCCCCTAAACACACAGGGTCTAGGGTGGGCAGCTGGTATACTGCTAGACTGTTGGGGTTTTCACCCCCTGTGGCCAAGAGGGTCTTGGAGGGATTCAACTGGATGGCGTGGATGCCACAGGTGGGTTGGGTATGGGTTTCTCCATTTCCTCTGTCCTGCATCAGGGGAATGCGGGTAATTTTGCCAGTATGGACGTCTACCACGAAGAGCGTGTTGCACTTGGTGCCACACACCACCTGCCTGGCATTTAGCCACTGCGACGCGAACACCTTGTTGAGGGGGCCAAGCGCCAACTGGCGCTCCCTCAGCAGTTCTGGCAGCCTGAGGACCCCATAGTTGCGCAGGTCGCCCTCGAAGCCCGCCAGCCCCGGGTGGCCCTCGTCACCCAGAGCCCGGCCCTTCAAGTAGTGCACCAAGGAATGGCAAGCCACGGGCCGCCGCGGCCTCTTGGCCAGCAGCAATGGCCCCTCCGCATGGCCGGTCCCCGACGCTGCTGCAGCAGCCGGGCCGGGCAACGAAGAACTCCCGGCGCCCCCCTCGACCCCGGCTGCTTTCCGCTTCCTGCTACCTGTTTGCTGAGGGGCCCTGGAGGGCGGCGGGCGGGCTGCAGAGGCTGTGGCGGCGCGGCGGCGGCGGTGGCGGCGCGTGGCACCCGTGTTGGCCATGGTGGTGTAGGGAACGGCTGTGTCTCCGAATCGATCAGGCTGGCACTGGGTCCCAGGGGCGGGAGGCTGGGAGATCTCTGGGGCTCCGTGTGTCCTGGGCCCCGGGTGCTTTGGTGGCAAAAGAGGCGAAGGTGGCAGCGTGGCTTGACAAGGACTGTGAGCTTTGGAAGGAGCTGGGCGAGGGCGGAGAGAGGTGGTGGCTGTTCAGGGGACCTGTCGAGGGCGGAAAGTGCTGCCGTCTTGAGATGGTGAACTCAGTGTGGGACGAAAGAGTCTGCTAGAGACCTCAGGGTGAGGGGCGGAGGCAGTGGGAGGGGCAGTTGGCCGCGGGGTGCTGGGTAGCACAATCCAGTCTGGGTGGAGGCTGGGGAGAAGCAAAGGGGATGGGCGCGCTGGAGGGCTGTGTGGAAACTCTGGGGAGATTCCTAGAGGGCTGAGCTTGGTAGCTAACACAAGCTTTTTTTTTTTTTTCATCAACCTCACAACAGCTTCCAACTAGCCTTAAAACCAAAACCTAAAATATAGTCAAACAGAAAATCAAAAGGAGCACTGAGCATGACATGTGGGAAGAAATAAATTCGCATGTGGGAACACTTTTGACAAAGGTTGTTCTTTGAACTGGACCAGGAATGGGAGGCTTTTTAAAGTACCCTCTTTAGTTTCTTTGTGCACTGTTCTTGTAAGTCCCTCTGCTGGTTGAGTTTTCAACCATTCTAACCTTATTTTTCTCTTGTTCCTCTTTATTTTCTGAACTTGAAGTTCCCGAGCTACTGAACTTGAATCCCTTGAGAATATCTTGCTGATTCCCACACCTCGACCCCAATTCGAGTCAGGGTATGGTAGTGAAAGTGTCGAAAATAAACCTCAGGGTTTTAATTGGGCAAAAGTGGTATACAGGTAGGGACAGCCTGTTAGAGGTGAAGGGAATGGTGCTTCCTTACCTACTAACTTCTCAGGAACCTAAGAAGCTTTAGATGATAGGGTCCAGAGTAAGGGCAAGGAAGGGGTCCTAGAGAGAAAGGCATGCTCCTGCTCTCCAGTTAGGGAACAAACAGTCCACATAGTCAGAACCAGGACTTCTGCCAAGCTCCATTTCCTATGAGAGGTCATGTCAACCTCAGGAAGGGGCTTGAGGAACACACCAGATATCCCCAAGCACAGTGGGGAAAGAAAAGTGGTTCAATGGAACAACGTGGACATAATGTGAAAGTGCAGATATCCAGAGTAAGGGTTTTGGCCCCCTCCGGGAGTAAGGGGATGTGTGGCTCTTGTGCAGCTTCAGTGTATCCAGTTCCTTTGTAGTCACACATTAAGCCTGACCAGTATCAACACATGTGTATGAGTGGGAGATGGGTGGCTCTCACAGAAGAGCATTGGCCAGATCTCTTTCACAAAATTCGATTTGTTAAGATAGAGGCATGTGTTATGGGGGTGTGTCCAACTTAATGTATCTAACCGGCCTTATGAAATAATGGAGCTGTTTTATTGTTGGCTTTCCTTGTACCCAGCCTTACATTTTTTTTTTTTTGTAAAATTGTCTCAAGTCTACAAATTCCAGGTGCAAACTCCCATGGGCCAGTTTAAAATGTTATGGTCACTTGATAAAAAGAATAAACAAAACAATTTATACAAAAAGTTGGAGACATTTTGAAATGAAATTCCTTGATTTGACAAAATAAAATATTTTGAGTTGTAATAATGCTGTGGAATAATCCTTGTGTACACTGTGACTATATAATACTCTCATTGTTTTAATAAACTGCTAACTGGTCAATAGTTAGGCAGGAAGAGGTATAAAATGGAGATAATACCACCCATCACATGGTCATTTGTGAGTAAATGATTCTCTCTCTCTCTCTCTCTCTCTCTCTCTCTCTCTCTCTCTCTCTCTCTCTCTCCCTCTGTGTGTGTGTGTGTGTGTCTGTGTGTACTTCTCTATATGAATTTTTTGTGTCATAAAAAAAGAGAGTGGAGGAGTCAACAGGAAGATAGAAACAGAAATTTACATGATATTAGCACATAAAAAGATTCTCTTAAAACAGGGCTGATTTTCTTCCTTTCCACTATTTACCATTAGAAAGGTAGTGTGGTATCCAGGATAATGGAGTTTTTGAGACCCCCTATAGTGCAAAACAAACATATTCATCATTACTAAAAACTTGTATATTTGGAACAAAATGATTGGCTACTCTTCTACTTCCATAAATCTCAATTGTGCTGTGAAACTGTAGATGAATATTCAAAAGGGAATAATATATTCTAGAAATAAATTTACAGTGTGCTAGTGGATCTTAAAGGGGAAATTCAGAGGGGTTCTTCTATGAGACATCCAGATTTGGGCTTCACTCTTAACAGTTGCTAATATACATATACATTGCAAAAATAAATTATACTTTCTTCCACATAGAGCAGTTCATATCTGGTTATACTAGGTAAATTTGATAGAAGTGATGAAAAATTTACACAAATCATGTGTTGATATCAGTTAGTTATGTAAAGAATGGATAAAATCAAGCCAGTGAAGTTAATTAAGAAAGCATTGTACTCTGTACTCTGCAGTATTTTAACTGAAAATAGATTTCAAATATTTTCTTTACCCTTCATACCTAATTATCACTCAATTCAAAAGTATCATATATGCCAGTACTTCCTAATTTTATATTCCCATCACAAACTTTTGTTCAACTTCCTACTTGACATTTTAGATATCAAAAGAGAACTTCAAAGTCAGCATATATAATCCCAGAATCTTGACTTCAATCCTCTTCTTTTATTACTTTATTAATACTAGGAATCAAATTTTCCACTTCCTCCCCTCCTCCCACTTCTCTCCTGCTCCCCTACCCCCCCTCCAGTCCTATAGAGGGCAGGGTACCCTGCCCTGTGGGAAGTCCAAGGCCCTCCCCCCTCCATCCAGACTTAGGAAGGTGTGCATCCAGACAGACTAGGATCCCAAAAAGCCGGTACATGGCATAGAGACAAATCCCAGTGCCATTATCATTGGCTTCTCAGTATGCCCCAAAGGTCAGCCACATTCAGAAGGTCCAATTTGATCCCATGCTCGATCAGTCCCATCCCAGCTGGCTTTGGTGAGCTCCCATTAGTTCAGACACACTTCTAAGTGGGTGGATCAAACCCTCTTGGTCCTGACTTCCTTGGTCATATTCTCCCTCCTTCTGTTCTTCAATTGGACCTTAAGAGCTCAGTCCAGTACTCCCATGTGGGTCTCTGTCTCTGTCTCCATCCATCGCTGGAGGAAGGATCTATGGTGATATTCAAGATAGTCATAAGTCTGACTATGGGGCAAGGCCAGTTCAGGCACCCTGTCCTCCACTGCCCAGGGCCCTAGCTGGGGACATCCCTGTGGACATCTGGGACCCCCACTAGGAGATCAGTGTGGGGGTTTCTCAAATATTTGGGAATCAACCTACCTCAGGATCCAGCAATACTACTCTTCAGAATATAACCAAGAGATGTCCAATCCTACTACAAAAGCATTTGTTCAACTATGTTCATAGCAGCATTATTCACGAACCTGGAAACAACCTAGATGCACCTCAATGGAAGAATGGATAAAGAAAGTGTGGCACATCTACACATTAGAATACTACTCAGTGGAAAAAATAAACAATGACATCTTAAATTTTGCATGCAAATGGATAGAAGTAGAAAAAACTATTCTGAGTGAGATTACCCAGACCCCCAAAAGATCAATATGGTATGTAGTCACTCATTAGTGGATTCTAGTCATAAACAAAGGACATTGAGCCTATGGTTCACAATCTTAGAGAATCTAAGTAATAAGGTTAACCCAAAGAAAAGCATATATAGATCCTCCTGAAAATTAGAAGCAGACAAGATCGCCAGGCAAAAGTTGGGAGGATGGGGGTGGGAGTGGGGTGAGGGAAGAGGAGAGGGGGAGAGAGAAGGGAGAAGGGGAGGATTGGGGAGGCCTTGGGGGAGTGGGATGGTTGAGATGGAGGAAGGACAGATTGGAAGCAGGGAAGAAGATATCTTAAGGGAGGCATTGTGGGGTTGGCAAGATTTCAATCCTCTTATTTCTGAAATTTTCTTATTACCTGTCTTCATGAATTTCACTACCATGCATTCAATTGTTCAAAACAAATTTCTAATAATTATCCTTGACACATATCTCTCCTATGGGTTTAATTCTAATATTCATTCTTCTAACATTTGTATAATCATCTAGTTCTCAATTTTTCACTGTTACTCTTAGATTTACAACCTATTTAATCTTGATTGTATAACTGTAGTATCATGCTGTTATTTTCAAGGGATGCACCCCCTTTTCCTCCTCCATTAAGTTTTCCACTTTAGAGTCAATGCAATAACTTATTGCAAATCCTGTCTTTCTACTACACAGTTTTAGACAAATTTGTACTTACCTGCAGTCGTAGAACATAGATCAAAGTCCACAAAACACTCTACCAAGGCCAGCATGATATAAATTATGTTGCCTTTCCAGAGTTTTTTTTTTTTTCATTATTTTGGTCTTTAGCCACAATGGACCTTTTTAATGTTTTCAACACTGTCTCATAATGTCATGCTTCAGATCTTTCTTGCATCATGTTCTTTCTGCTTGAAATACTTTCTGCCTGTGGGTCATTTACCTTTTACCTCCCACAGATATCTGAGTTTGTTAACTGCTTATTTTTAATACCACAGTTAAAATGTCATATTTTTTGTAGAAAATTATCCCTTGGAGCCCCAGAATAGGCTAAAATATGGTACCCTATTATAAAACATTGTCAATGTCAAGTTTCATGTTTTTTGTCACATTAAGATTTTATGTGAATATGTATCACTCATTGTACAATTATTGGTGACTAGATCACTGCCTGGGAGCAGGAGAGGAAGAATTCATTTGACTTATTGTTTTTGCCCAGTGTCTAGCCTATCTTAGAAGTAAGAAATCAGTATTTGTTGAGTGACTGTTCAGAGACCTTGAAACTTTTATTGATGTATTTTAGTCTTTCATG